AAAAAAAAAAAAAAAAATTGTTTACCCAATATCAATTGTAGTCTCATCAGTAGGAGGACATGGAATAGCTATGTAACCAGGCTGATATTGTTGCATAACAAAGTAAAAGATTAGCACCACTGAAGTAAAAGATGTTTTTAGTCTTTATGAGAGTTATTTCAAACAAAATCACTATGAGTATTTTGTATTGATAGTATTGATTGATTGACATGCACATGCATCCAATGCATAAACCACAAGTAAACAAGACGTTTAAGGCATTAGTTTTTGTATTGCTCGATCTTTGTTTGTTATCTTTTTCTATTTTTCATAGACAAGCACCATTGTGTACAAACCAAAGGCGAACAGTGATGTTTTAAGGTTTCCTTAATATGCATTCATAGAAGAAAAATCTTTCAGATGTTAAAAAACGCTTACGACAATTTATACTGGATAACCTCAGGTTGCTGTAAAATCTTATTTTATCAGAAAAGCCACCACTTACAATTAACAGATTTAACTAAAACCATTACTGGCACAACCTCGATTGAATTATGCTACTTACAAACAAAAAAACACTCCCAACAATAAATGATCTATTTGTAACTGAATGCCCCAACTTCATTTGATGAGAGGAAAATATAACAATGATATAAGAATGTCTCAAACCATCATCACATATGTACTGAACTCGACAAATGGGAAAAGAATTATCTAACTTCGATCCAGTTCTTGAAAATAAATACTGAATGGATAAATCTAAAGAGCACTAAGTCAGATACCTGATGGCAGACTAATAGGTTATGTCTCCCTTCTCATTGTACCAGTGTTGTACACATTTTATGTGGGCATACTGAAAAGTAATATGTCTCAGTAAAATAGAAAACCAGGCAATTTGTACAAATGATTGTCCTGAACAAAACATGGGGGTGGGGGCCAAGAAGAAAGACAAATGTTAGCCAAATATTGAACCGATCATACGTGTAACCCTAATATTCTTGTGCACTCGAAGACTCGTTAGAAGAGAATTCCATCATGTGAAGGGAAAAGAGTAGTTTTATTGATTTTGCTGTGAGTACTGTCGATGATATAAAGGTTCCCTATGCATTTGTTCAGCATAACCCTGTGGCATGTTCTACGACAAGTCATTAAAAGATAAGCTCTTCAAATCAAAGACTAACAGAGCTTAAAAGATCCAATCAAACGCTTTCCACCAATACTTCAAGCTATATGTATTTATATACCAACTGCAAAAGATTTTAACATCTTCCTGAACAGATACCTTCTTGCATAGTAATTCCATTTTCCGTATAAAACATAAATGACGAAACAAATCAACATGTTCAAGCGTCTCCCATTTATCATCTTAAAGATTCCTCACCAGCAAACCCTTTCTTAGACACCAAACACAAAGCTACTACAAAACAAATATCACGAATAAACATCAACAAATATAGAGACATAAAAAAATGCCTCAATATAAGCATTTTTAGTTTTACCTTAAGACTTCCACTGCAAGCACAAGGACTCTCCAAGTTGTTGAAAGAATCCTCTTTTTGGCAAATACGGCACTCTCCCAACCCTATTAGAGGTGCTTGCTCATCCTCTTCTTCATGCTCCACCACCATCATCACATTATCATTATCTGTCGTCATTGACGACGAGGACCCGACCATCTCAGGCTTCTTTCCAGTTGGGTCAACCACCTTAGGTTTTCGCCGTTGACTCGCATTCACAACCGTATGCTCGCCCATTTCCACACTAATTTACACCAATAAATCACCTAAGGGAACAAAAACAAGCTATAGAAATCCCAAGCAAAACACGAGCATAAATCTCACGAAACTTGTGATCAAATAAATAGCCCCCATGACCCCTTATTTATGCAAATTGCAGAAAGTTATAAACTTTTTACCTCAAAATTACAACCCAGTAGGTCTTCACTTCTTCGTTATTTACAAGGCTAGGATCTTTTCAGCCTCAACATTCGCAATTACCAAATGTTATAATAAATATTGAGAACGGAAACTAAAAACCCATTTCAACAGATAAAGAACCCTGAATTCCCTAACGCGTGAACCCAAAAATATCACCTTTAAGGAAAAACTCGAACTGTAAAGCCCTAACAAAAAAAAAATCAATGATATCGCGTAAAAGTCATAAATTTTGAAGAATTCAACTGGTCTAGGCATTTGACTGTCGAATAATATCATTTACCCTGAAAAAAAAAAAAAAAAAAAAATAAAATAAAATCTCAAAACTTTATTCTACATGCACGCTAAACATTCTTGTAGAGGCCGCTTCAATACCATAACCCATATATGGGAAAACATTCTTTTATTCAATGAAAGCTCCATAACTAAGGTCGACTAACAAATTCCAACAATTTCACAATACAAGAATTAAAAGTAAAGAGAGAAATGTCTTATTTTTGGAATTTCAAATATAGAAAAGAACATTTTGTCGACTTACCTCAAAGTTTTGTGTATCAGTCGGAGGTATCCTATCGTACCACCGGAGTTTTATCGCTTGTCAAAGCTCAGCCCGACCACCGCCGCTCGTGAACAATCAGGGTTTCGCCAGACTCCCGCAGTTGTTTTCGTCGCCACTCTCTTTGATGATGTTATTTTGAATAACAGGATTTATTGGCTAAGGTTTTGCTCGCCACTCTCTTTGATGATGTTATTTTGAATAACAGGATTTATTGGCTAAGGTTTTGGCCGGCTATTAAAAACACTGAATCCGACAAAATGAAAAAGAGTACCTGAATCCGTGTTGATAAGAATTAACCGGCTCTGCTCGCTGCTCAGGCCATCACAGAACTGAATGCCGCTTCCGTCAATCTTACCCACCGACCGTCGCTTCGTTTAGTAGCTCCGCTGCCACCCATCCCAAAGTAGCCGGTTGCGCACTCTTTTATTCAATGAAAGCTCCATAACTGAGGTCGACTAACAAATTCCAACAATCTCACAATACAAGAATTAAAAGTAAAGAGAGAAATGTCTTATTTTTGGAATTTCAAACATAGAAAAGAACATTTTCCAGACTTACCACAAAGTTTTGTGTATCAGTCGGAGGTATCCTACCGTACCACCGGATTTTTATCGCTCGTCAAAGCTTCAGCCCAACCACCGTCGCTCGTGAACAATCAGGGCTTCGCCAAATCTTGACGGGCCTCCCCTTGAGCTGCTCGTATTTCTTGGAGAAAAGGAGAGTTTAGGATTTGAATATTGGAGAGAGTAATTTATTTTTGAATCCGTCGATTTAATTAGAGAAGTGGAGAAGACGTACCCAAATTCACGGAAATCCAATCAATTAACAT